CAGATTTTTTATTTATTTATTTGTGTAGTGCATAGTTTAACAGACATGCATTGCAGAGACATTTCAGATTTTACATCACAATGACAACAGCAACGCTAACGTGAAAATCGAGAGTACTGCATTTATAAAAGATAAAGAAATAAAGAAGCACAGAGATGCAAAACATAACATATAAGAACCTCCACCATTGCACATATCAATAAAACAATTGTGAAGTATAATTCAAGAACCACAGCAGGAGAGACCACCTCAACCCACACCCGATCAGGAGGCAACAATATAGGAAACATTGAGTTGAGGCCCACCCTCCCAGATCCAGTTCTGACTTTGCAGGAGCTGGCCATAAGACAAGCCCAGGTAAGTCCTCTGTACACAGTGCTTCAGCAATTTGCCAGTGCGATCTTCCCAATTGGTAAGTATAAGAGCAGGAAGATGCCGCTGTCCAGTAGTCACTGATCCAGCTTCCTGCCCAAGGGAATCCTGGTCTGGAAGTTGCGGTCGCTCCGCTGGTTGTGACTGGAGTGTGTAAACCGGCTGGGGATATTGAAGGCCACCACTATGAGTAGCAGGGCTTTGTCGCTGCTCAATCTTTGCCCAAAATTGGGCACAAATTAGGTCAAATGCCCTCAGGATGTCTGCCAGATCTTCCACTTCTCTCAGAGGTCCCCCACTTCTCTCAGACTCTGTCGTATGTTGGGAGGTGGCCATTTTGGGCGGCCCGTGCAGACTGGCTCCGGAGGTATTGCTGACTGGCTCCGGGGATGGCCCTGGCAAAGGAGACCGGGAAAAAAAAACCCTCGGTCTAGGGTGGGACGGGGACGCCGTGAAATTTACTGTTTTAAGGCAGAAACGGGGCATACAACAGGCAGGAGAGCGACCACCTCTCCCACCAGAACGACCTTCCAGGCCTTAACGCTCGGCCACTGTTATACCCGCGGATCAGGAGCAAGTAGGTGCCAAATAGCATGAGCAGAATCCTGATACATTCCTATGTCCCCTGGTACCAATATAAGGCTGAGTCCATAGGTGAAATAGGCTAATTGGCTCAAAAATACAAGAAATCTACAGCGCTTATAGAAGTTGCTTCCATTCAGCATGGCCACCTTGCCCACAGTTTTTTTTACGGGAACCTGCCATACCCAACAATACTTTTAAAGTGCTTCAAAATTAGCTGGCTCTCGTTTTTTCAGTCCCTTTTTTTTAGGTTTATTTTTCTTTTAGTTTTCCCTTTTTCACTGTGTAAATAGTCCTTAACAACCAGTCTTAAAATTGGTTGAATAAAATCATTTTAGCTACTACAGAAAGTAATGTATTCTTGTGAGCGAGCAGTAAATGTTATGTTTTTCTTCTAATGTTAGAGCACCTTCTTGTTCACCTGTGTTATGCAACCCTACTTGTTTAATTACCTGAGATACACCATGTACTTTTAATTACTACTATGTTTATTGTTGAATATTTGAACCACAACCTGAACCATTTGAATGAGTTACACTATAGATGCTGTGTGATGATATTATTATTATTACTGCTATTTCTGCTATAAAGTTTTTGAAATGAAAATAAATAAATACATAGAGAAAGCATTCACAAACAGGGCAAATCAGAAACGCCATTGAGAAGTGGGATAATGCGGCAGGGGAGCCGGGTGTAAGGTAAGTTTTATGACAGATTTTACCATGTCTTGGCTTTTAACTTAGTTGGAAAAGCTGTCATGGAGAATACATCCAGTGCAGCTTGAAAAAAAAGAGTAGCATAAGTATATATGTACTGAGGGCAATCAGTACATATAATAGTGCTTTAACAATGTAATACAAATGTGCAACAATGTAATACAAATGTGCAACAATCAGCGGGCTGGCAGAGCAAGGGCTAGTCAGTCTGACATGCCGTGGAATTGTGCACCAAGACATTAGCAGCAAAGCTTTTAAGTCCATCAAGCTGCGAAGTGTCATGTTCCTCAAACCATTCCTGAGCAATTTTTGCAGTGTGGCAGGGTGCAATATGCTGCTGAAAGAGGCCACTGCCATCAGGAAACACCACTGCCATGAAGGGGTGTATGCTGTCACC